CTGACCTTTTGCGTGAGTGCTTATCCTACAGTGCCACACCAGGATTCCTAGTGAAGTTTGTTATTGTTGTTGTGTGCTGTTGAGTTCGTTCCTTACCATAAGGACCTTGCACAGGGTTTCCAAGGAGCGACTGGTAAGCTTGAACCACTGATCTTTCAGTTCAAACCAACTTTGTAGTCCAGCAAGCGTATTAACCCTCACTCCACACCAGTGAACATTGTTGCCTATAAAACCCTATGGGGGAGTACACTGGGTTGGCCATGAGTCAGAATCAACAACCCTGTGCCACCCAATTCAAGCTGCTTGAACTACAGCAGTGTGAAGAAGACACAAAATCTGGAGTTTAAATTCCAGTGGGGCAGAAAAACAATATGCGCATTAAATTATTATGTAATATAGGATCAGATAAGGATGATCCAAACCAAAGCGAAACCCACTGTCTTGGAGTCGATTCTGACCCATAGCGACCCTGTATAGGGTTTCTGAGGAGCAGCTGGCAAGCTTGAACTGCTGACCTTGCAGTTCAAACGGTTTTGCAGTCTGGTGCATTAACCCACAGCACCACACATAGGGGGATTAATTTTGATGACTAGACCAAGAAGTGCAATGGTTCAGCACGGTGCTGACTGAAAGGTCTGCAGCTTGAACTCATGAGCTGATCTTGAAGATCTGATCCTGTAAAGGTTGCTGTTAAGTGCCATCAAGTTGGTTCCTACTCAAAGTGACACTGTATAGGGTTTCCGAGAAGTGACTGGTGACCTTGAATTGTCAACCTTGTACTCCAAACCGAACGATTACAGTCTAGAAAACCCTAGAGGGCAGTTCTACATAATCCTGTTGGGTTGCCATGGGTCAGAATTACTCAGTAGCACACAAGAACATCCCCAAGAAGACTGCTTAAAGGGTGGGAGACAGTCATGCTAATATCTGGGGAAAATACTTCCAGAAAGAATAACCAGCAAAGATCCTGAGAAAAGGAGCAAAATAATGATTTGTTTAATGGTGACCTGTTTTGAAAATCTCTGTGGATCTACTATATCTCCATAAGCTAGCCAAGGTATATATATTGTTGTTGTTGTCAGGTGCCATCGAGTCGGAACCGACTCATAGCGACTCCATGC